TTTTTGTTAAATGTTTACTTTTTAAATGTGCATTTCAATCGTTTTGGAACACTAAACAACTGAACGCAGGCGCTTCAATAATAATGATTGAAAAAAATATTTAGCGACAGATCGGTTTGTATTTGTGAACGTGTGTCGTGTGAATGATCTATTCTGAGTTTTGTGTATTTTGTGGGCCTTTTGGGGGATTTGCGACGCAGCTTTCGGCAGCTCCACACCAGAAGCGGCCACCAGGTGTCGCTAGAGGGCCGCACATTTGTTGTAGAGACGATCCAAGGGGGGGGGAAAGCCACAGTTACATGTTGTGTTGGGCTCCCTTCTTTCTCTCTGCGCCTTTCTCCCTCCTCCCTTTACTAACCCTCTGACACCAGACTCTGAGAATCGGTGGAGGGGAAAATGAGGCTTTGGAGCTGAAGAATTTACAGTTAGTCGCGAAACTTTTACAAGTATTTGAGTTGCTCAGTCCACTATCTGAAACCCTGTAGTCACATTTCAGGCCGAGGTCAAAAGGAGTTCAGATGCAGAGGACTGAGGTAATTTTATTTGCAAGAAGAAAACACCGAGTAGTCAAAATTATTTGCATGAGCAAATGAGAAATAATTTAAAAACATGTCAAGTAATTCCGGAACTTGAATGCTGATGCTGGTTGCGATGGCGTGAGTCTATTAATTTATTTGTCTCTTTTACGCCTGACAACCACAGAGACACATTACGTTTATTAAGTGCAAAATAAAATATTTAAGATGTATGGTGCATCAGCATTCTCGTTTGTTTTGTTTATATTAACGGATTTTATTTCGCCCATCCACGAAAAGGCTACAAAATCTCCACTTTCCGTAACTCTGCTGCACTCAGTCTGTGATCCAGTCTTATCTAAGCCTCTCTATACATTAGCCTTGCTTATTTACATAATCTCAAATACTGGAGAGGGCCAGGGAAGAACAAAGTTACAAACAAGATTAGGGCGATTTTATTTGTTCCTGCCGTTGAGCGCCGATTGTTTCTTCAGGAGTGTTTAAGGTCACTAAGAGGATTTGAAGCTCGTTTCATATCAGTGATCTTTTTGAGGGAATTAAACCAACAATGCATTTCTCTCCATATTTAGCAACAGGCTTGTGTGTGTGAACAACCGATCCCTGCAGGGCAGCGGAGGGGGAGAGGGGTTTGGAGTCCCGCTAAGAGTAAACATGGGAGTTCAGAGCCGGAGCTGCGCGCACGCAGGCGGTCCTGGTGCACCTTTAGGATGTGACACGCCGTGGATCTTTAGCCTGGTGACTGTCCCAGTAGTGTTTTCCTTGAAATGGATCCTCTACAACCCCCCCACCCCACCCCCCCCCCCCATGCCCTGGACCCCCCCCTCCCCAAATGAATCCAAACGCAGCTGGCCGCGTCCCACACGGACACCGAGCGCTTTAACCCTAAACTGACCTCAATTTGACACCACCAGATGAAATTTTACCGCCTGTTAGTGCCATCTACTGATTTTTTCATACGCGCACCTGAAAAGAGCCGCAACGTGAGGAAATATAAAACTACTTAAAGAGTCTAATTGTCTGTGAGGGGTGTCCTCCTGGAATTATCAGGCTTGTAAACGCGCTCGGGTCATAAGCAGGGGAGTTTAAGTTGGCACACGTCTTGTTTATGAGGAAAAATTAATTTTAATTAACCATTGAGTGAATGATCATTCCAATGATATTAAGAAGAATTAAGCACCGACTTGTGTAATGTTTCACATAAAGCTGTTATGGAGCGGTTTTAACCTATTTCCCAACCAAAATATTGTTGGCGATGAAGTCATGTGTTTATAGCTTCTATTAATTACTCAAATAAATAGTTTCCAAAGGAAATAGTTTAGAATTCTACATGGTCAGGAGTCATTGCTGGAAGGTTTTCAAGGATGGATGTGTTTCTCTGGAGCCCTACACCGGGCACGCATAATTAGCCTCTCCTATTTTCACACGCTCTTAGGGTGTTTACATCACTCTCCTTCGGGGCAAATCGCATATTTCCACAATAAATGCGGGGAAATGCCGGTGTAATCGCAAGATCTGAAAGTATGTAAACTTAAAAATTCGCTCGAACATCTGGATTTTTTCAGGACGCCAAGCTACAAGGGAGCAGCCACCCTTATGAAAATATAATAATTCTGTCCGCATTTTGAAATAGTCCACCCTCCAAACTTTCCCCTTTACTGCACCCTGAAAGAACGCGCGTTCACAACAAAAGGGTAGAGAGACAGTATAAGGGTTGTGCTACTTACCATGGTTGTCCAAAAGAGGAGGATGAAAAAAAAAAAAAAAAGTCAAGCGTTAGCGCACAAATCAACATGAACGACACTATTTAGCTTATGAAAATATCAGTCTTCAGAAGCAGAGTCTGCCGGGCTGGTTGTGTTTACAGAGTGTAAGGGAGAGACTTGGAGACGGTGAATGCCTTGGCTCTCTCTGCGCACAGCTCTGCTGCTCCTTCCCGGGGTATTGCACGTTGAAATGTCCACACAGCCGTTTGTCAAACCCTGCAGTCCTACACTTCCCACCCCCCTCTATGCCAACAAACATAACTGTTGTCAGTGCTTCATTTATTAAACCTTTTTTTCCTTTAAAGGGGGGGGGGGGGGCGAAATATATATATATAAATACTCTCTCTAATCGACCCAGAGCAACGCTGCTCATTGTTTTGTTTGTTGGGAGTTTATTGACCCTCCAACAGTAGCTACAACCCATCTCCCTGAGCGTGTGTCCACCTTAATCCTAACCTGTGAATAATTCATTTCCACCATCAAAAATGCCACGGAGCTACAAATGGAGCCTTTATGTGAGAACCTATCAATACGGCCATGATGGCATATTAGCCCTGATGGAGCTAAATATTAAAGGGGATAGATGACCTGCTTCTGTTTGGTGCGTAAAAGTGCTCAGGCTCCAAAAAAAGGGCTTCACTGCAATCGATGGCCGGGGCGTTGCTCCTCCTCTAAACTTCAATCTCCTCGCATGATTGATGATCTTGGGGAGCTTTGATAATTGACTACTCTGAGGTAAGGCACGGGTTTCTATCAAGAGAGGGGATTGGACGAAAGAAACGCACAAAATTACTTTCCCCACAAAAGCCTTTTTTTTTCCTCCTGGAAAAGTTCATTTTGGGCTTAGAGGGGTGCTGCGTGTCGTTTAATTTGCTGAAACGGAGCAGAATAATAATTAGCTACGAGATTAAGAGGTATTATTGAGATATTAAGTATGCACGCTGGCTTATGTCCACAAAACAGATATGTTAGAGCCACGCTCACGCATTAAACTCACTATTCCCACTTCTTGGCATTTTTAGTGGAGGTGACTTACTATAGTTTATTTTTCTTACACTGACCATACGCATAGTTGCAAGTTTCAAATGTTTCACTGAGGCTAGAGTTTTCATTGTTTAACGTTTGCATGCGTAGTGCGTAATTCCGCTCCGTAATTGGCTTTTTCAAAAAACCGTGAACTACAATTCATGCACTCCAGATCAGCGTCTGTTATGTTGAACTCAACTCGCGGCAGTCAAAAGTGTCCGCTCTGTCTCATCCAACCTCCTCTCTTTTTCTCTTTAGGACTCTTCTCGGCGAAACAAGGCATTGGGTGGGAGTTGGAGCTTGTGTTGCTTTTAGCTTTGTTACCCCCAGTGTGGAGTTGAAGTCGTCCCTGCGCCTCGCATATACTCTGCATATCACAAGATTTGGTCTCTCCTCTCTCTTCTGTGGAGCTGTTGTAGGACTGGCTATGGCCACCACTACTTCCGGGATCCGTCATTTCATTCGCCCACCGCTCAGCGCTGCGAACTGACTCTGTTTCTATAAGCAAGCTAGCAGCCAACCTGCCAACACTCGCTGACACTCACTCATCTCAGTCTCGCCAGATAGACGAAATACCTACGGGGGGAAAGAAAGGAGAGATCCGAATCGCAATCTTTTTCATTTCTACGGCTTTTTTTTACTACTTCTTTTTTTTCTCCCCACAGTGATAATAAAAACAAGATAGCGATCTGGAGACATTAAAGGAGACGTGGACTTGCGGGATGAAAACGGACTAAAAAGATTCGTCCTTCTCTTGAACATCATCACCAACCGTCATTCATTCATTACCTTGACAACCTCTGGCTTTGATTGACAGCTGGAGTGGCAAAAAGCCATGAGACACGACAGTTTAGTTACATGCAGGTTGTTGATGGGCCGATTGTAACCTTCACTTTGGCGCATTTTTTCTTTTTTTTTCCAAGGAAAGAGGGAAACCAAGAAAATTTGCAAAACTGTCCGATGCTACGATTTCAGCTGAACCAGACTGGCGAATAGGACAATTCGCAAAGTTGGTTGAAAGAGGAACCCTGCCACTAAATCACTTTCGAACCGGGACTGGGATATTAAATATACGGACAGATTCAGGAGTTTATTGGAGCGCAGCCTGATGGCGCAAAGGGTAGGTTTTAAATCTCCAACACTTACCTGTTCGAGCCCACTGTATAGGGAGGCCCTCGTATCGCGACCGTCTCGCCCGTGTGCTGGCAAATTTACAAAGTATTCGTACCGAAGCCGACGTATCTGGCAGTTTTGCAGCGCACTTACTCTCCAGGCAGAGGGGGACAGCCTCTGCTCTCACCGACAGCCTCCGCGACAAGTCGTGGAGCAGTTTTCGGGACACTCCAAACTAGTTCGCTCTTTTCAGCCACCAAACTCTGCGCGCAGAGCAAGGAGCGACTAAGTTGCAATGTTTCTGGTAATGACAGAACCGCGCGGCAGCTCCGATATCTCACACTTTTGACACTTTTTTCTGCTCCGGCTGCAGCGTGTTCCCCCCCCCCCCCCACGGCCAGCGAGCTTAGTCTAGTTTTCTCCTCTGCGTGTTTTTTAGAATGAGACGGCATGGTTTTTTTTTCTTTCTTTCTTTCTTTGTATACTTTCCACATTTGCAGAGCAAAAAAAAGAAAAAAGTCACCGGTAAGTGCGCTCACTGTTGCTCTAATTCTATTCCCAGTACGATGAGCTGGCCCACTACGGTGGGATGGATGGAGTCCCGGCGTCCATGTACGGGGACCCGCACGCGCCCCGGCCGCTTCCCCAGGTCCACCACCTGAACCACGGCCCGCCGCTGCACGCCAGCCAGCACTACGGAGCCCACGCTCCGCACCCCAACGTAATGCCCACCAGCATGGGCTCCGCTGTCAACGACGTTTTAAAGAGGGATAAAGATCAAATTTACGGGTAAGGCTCGCACCGAAACTAAAATACGCTTCCATCTATATAGGTCCTGCGGCTTTGTCCCCGAAAGTTTTCAGTTTTTTTTTCTTCTGGAAGTTAGGAAGTTTCTCTCGGTTTAAATAGTGTTTTTGTGCAGATACGAGCGCAGTTTGGAGCCCCATTGTTGTTTGGTGGAGTTTTGTAGATGTGTAATTTTACACTCATTGTACGAGGCACCGTCAAGCCTGCAGTAAGTAAGAGTGTAAGCTTAGGCTTGTAAAATAATATGGACGTCAAAAGTCAAAAGTGGCACACTGCTGGGAATTAGAATGAAAACACGTATCAACTTGATAATAACAAACGTGCTTCAACTTTACCAGCGACAATAATGTAAAAAAACAAAAAAAAAAAACAAACAACTCATTTGAAATATTTTGCTCTCGGTCTGAACTGTTTCCATAAATTGTTTTCAGTGACACATTTACGTACACACACACACACACACACACAGGCGGCGTTACGACGCACCGAGTCTCTTCCTGACTGCTTCCAGGGGATTTTTTAGTGTTAAGAGAGAGCAAAACTTTGAAAATATGATTACAGCTATTGCTCATTGATACGTCCTCAGAAAGTGCTATAATCCTCAATTGTAATCTGGCCCGGTGTAAATCCACCTCATCTCATTTACTAAGCTTTTTTTTATATGGTAAGTAAAGTTTATCCTCATTTTGTATGCTGTCATGAATCAAAATGATAGAAATAAAGAGCCTGAAGGCAATTTTATGAAGCGATCGCTTGACGTAGAAATATTTTTTTTTCCACATAAAATTTGCTTTTGATTTTCCCTTGTTGACCTAGTGAAAGTTAAATGTGAACAATTTTAATAATATAATATCTTTAAACTGTAAGCTTGGTCAGACGGGAAATATTAAAGTAACGGCAGAATACTACCATTAAAAACTTTTTTTGCATATTGAATATTTTCTAAGAGTCAAACAACATCTGTCGACTGCGTCAGTTTGCTTTTTGTGTTTGAGTTTCTTGACTTCTCTGCAGTTCTTTCTTTTCTCTCTGCACTGCAAGAAAAGTCAGCCTCGACCAGGGAAATAATATCATTTTGGGATAAAAACGCTCAAGTTTTCCCTGACTGAGTAAAAATATTCCAGATGTATTTGCACTTACTTTTAACTCCCAAGCAGTAAAAGCAAATGTTGAACTTGATTCACTGTTGTTGTCTGTCTTATCATTAAGTTGTTTTTTTGGGGGGGAAAAGGGGGAAAATATCTAATCGTTGCGTGTCAGATTTTACGAGTTGCAAAGAGAAAAAGGGAGAAAAGCGCTTGCATATGCAGGTTGATTGGACATTTTTTGCAGCGGGCTTTGTGGAGCCGGTGAGCTGCTTGTACTCAGGCTGTGTTTCCCTCCTTGCAGTCACCCTTTATTCCCACTGCTTGCACTGGTTTTTGAGAAGTGCGAGTTGGCGACGTGTACTCCGAGGGAGCCCGGCGTAGCAGGCGGCGATGTCTGCTCCTCAGACTCCTTCAATGAGGACATTGCAGTCTTTGCCAAACAGGTCATTTTTTCTTGTTTGTTTGCCCCAAGATAATTACGTTTTACTGACTGTTAGAGCTGCGTCATAGCACGCCGTTTTTCATATTCCTGCTGGAACAAAATTATCTCAAGGTGGAGATATTTATTGTGTATTCATGGCAGTTCCCACTCAACTTGCCAATTCGATTTATGCAAATCTAAAATCTTCTATGAGATAACAATCAGTTAAAAAAATATTAAATCATGTCATTTCGTGCCGATCTAACTTTGCCATTTGATTTGTATTATTTTAGGTCCGAGCAGAAAAACCTTTATTTTCATCGAATCCAGAGTTGGACAATTTGGTAAGCGCAACGCTCTGTCTTTCCTGATTATCTGGTTACGGTCTTCCACAGAATACTCTGAAGTGTGCAGTAAATACGCGATCATAGGATTTAAACTTCCGCACAGATATCAGAGCCGTGTTGATGTGAAGCTGCGTGACCACATTAGTCTTTGCTGTCATTTTTCAGGCTTCTCATCTAAGACCTGGGCTTTAATTACTTATCAGATTAGAAGATGTGACGCCTCTTATTCTTAATAGTTGGCTGTAGTGCACCATACTGTGTTAAAATTTTATTTTATTTATTTCATCCTTCTGTACAAAAGAGAGAGAGTGTTAATTCAGTTTGGTCAAATTAATGGTGCTTATTCATTTTGTTTTCTTTACTTTTTCTTGCAGATGATACAAGCCATACAAGTATTACGATTTCATCTCTTGGAATTAGAAAAGGTACATTCTGCTACTGCATACTTTTGTATTTCTATTTATTTATTTTTCAAACTGTGGCAAGCAACAATATAATCTGCGTATAAAAAAAGGTTTGTGTCAAACTTGTATCAACATTTTGTGGCGTGGTTCACGTGCAACCGGAAAGTATGAGAAGTTTAAGTACTTTAATTTAAAAAGCAAATGCTGTTTTATTAAGCCAATAATTGATACGGCTGAAGTAACTATTGATGAAATATGTCAGAGCCTCTGTGCCCACGTTGCACATTGCTATTGATCCGCAGATTTAGTTTCAGTCGCTCATTATCTCGCCAGCTTATGGCGTGCTGTTTATTCTTCGCCGTTCAACTTGTTGTTCTGGTCTCAGGAGAATAATAAGCACTGCAACAATTTCACTATTGTTTCCTCTCTGCCGATAATGCCCCTTAATTGGAGTTATTCTTGGACTGGCTGAAGCGTTTCCCCATCCTGAAAACGGCGGTCTGTTTTCTGCGTTTTTCCACCTATAGGTGCACGAGCTCTGCGACAATTTCTGTCACCGGTACATCAGCTGTTTGAAAGGAAAAATGCCAATAGATCTAGTTATTGACGAACGGGATGGCAGCTCAAAATCAGATCACGAAGAACTTTCGGGATCGTCGACTAACCTTGCAGATCACGTAAGTAAAAACCACTTTTTATTGTATTCGGTATTATTTTAGCTCATGTCTGATGTTGATATAGCTGTTACCGAGTCTGTTTTCGCATGCATGCGACATATCGAGCATTTGCCAGAATTACCGGACTCTTTGATGCCCCTTATAAAGCAACTTTGGGGCTACTGGGGGCTTCTTGACCCTGCTGTGCCGCCAGTAAATAGAGCATGCTCTGTTCTGCAAAAGAAACCTGCCGATCGATGTAGTGAGGTCAAAAGCTACATGTGATACAATAGGCTGAGTTATTGTTTTAGTCTTTTGATTAGGAGCAGTCATGTGTGCATAATGCCTCCGTGTCTGCTTGTGAGTGTTGGATATTTGAATGAGTGTGTGTGTGTGTGTGTGTGTGTGCGTGTTATGGAGGGTGCGTGTGTGTAAATCGCTGCAGCGCATTATGGAGCGTTGCACGAAAGGAGAGAAGAAAAAAAAAAGGGAGGCAATTATCTGTTACGCGGGTTTAGCGTTTAAAGCGGGACGTCAGCCGTTTGAGCTGTAGCTTTTGGGCAATATTTAAAAAGAGGAGCGCTTTTTCTGTGCGCGGCAGCTGGATGTGGCCTGCGCACGGAGCCGTGCGGAGAAAGTGGTGGGCTGTGCTGAGAGAGAGATCTCAGGGCTGAGAGCTTACCATCAATGTCAAGTTCAGAAGCCTCATGATGGCTCGTCTGGAGGCCTTCCATTGCTGTTGATGTTAATGTGTTTAATTGTTTCGTATCGATTGCCGCGTGGTTTGCTCTGCACAAGCCCTCTCCTCTGCTCCCCCGTTTTATGGCCGGAGGCTCCATAACGCTGAATTCAATTATATGCACCTGAAGTACAGTAGCTTTAAATTTGAGGATCGATTCTCTAGTTTAGATCACGCATTTTCGGCGTAGTAAACACAGAATCTCCCCCCCTCTGCTGTATGGATCGAGCTTACAGTGTAGTATTGAGCCGGTATCTGTGAATTACTACGCCTGTGATAAAGCTAATGTTTAGGTGGGAGTAAAAATGAGCGGCTCTGGTGTAACAAAGTGACTGGTTAATATCTGTGAAGCACAAGGCCAAGCCTATTAGGAATGAAAGCAGATTTAAGTGTTATGCAAAGTCTCCGCGCTGCATCTGTTGGGTCTGGCTGCGGGCCTAATAGCAGAGGATCCCCTTTGGATGGCTCGCCTCCGCGGGAGCGCGCACGCAGCGCGCGGCTTCAGGTGAACCGAGCCCCGGTTAGTCCGGGAAAAACCACCGCCGGGGTCTCAGAAACAGTCAGAAAAACGGCGACACTGTGATCCTCCAGCACAAGTGTAGAAATGAGGCATGCTGTTGTTTATATTGGGGAGATTAGATAAACTGGCCTGTTTAGTTTCATGGCAGATGGTTGATGCTCAAGCCAATTTCCGATGGAGCCTCCAACGCTCAGACACCAGCTTTGTCATCGCTGCTCTTGTAAGAAATAGTTTGATCGTTAGAAAATTAAATATGCCAATAAAGCAAGTAAGAAGCCGCAATAAACAAAGCGAGTTGCGTGACAGGCTATTTGTCTTGGAGTCAATTGGACTGGCCACCTCATTAGGCATTTAAGGTTTGAGGGATTTATTTCACTTTTGTGGCACGACTGAACTTTTTATTATACCTAACTGCTGGCCTGAAATTCTCCAAATTAAAGGAAGGCACCCCCTCCTCCTTGTTTGCTTTCAGAACAGTGTTTGAAGTGAAAGGGGATTTTAATGACACCTTATGGAAACATTCATACCTCGGATTAATAGCTCTGTTTTAAAAAATGAATTCTGATATAATATGTAAGATGGACATACTTTGTGATGCTTAAGTTTCTTATTGTTTTAATATTTGTACAACTGTAAAAGTGATAATGTGTTCACTGAGACAATCAGCAGTAAAATCCATAATTGACAAGCGTTCTGCCATAATTGATAAAATGCATTTGGTGGAAAAACTGTGCTACTGAACTAAAAACAGCCTCTGCTTTTGTTGCCTTTCTTTTTCTTTTCTTTTAGCTTCTATTTGTTCACTTGTCTTTGACTCTGTTTTATTATTAATTTCTGTCCTTGTCTCATCTAGAGGAGGAAGAGAGTTTCATAGTTAGATATGCTAATTTATTTAGTTAGAATCTCTCACGTCCATTTTTCTTTGCTCTGATATGCATTTTTAATATATAGCCCTGGGCTAGATCTCATTTGAAGAAAGTTGTTTTTTCTGGAGATGGTGAGCTTCTTTACTGAGAGAGAGGCAGCAAGTTAAGCTTGTTTTTATGTAAGTCTACTTCCATTTCTGTCTCTTTCTTTTTCCCTCCTCGCCCCTCTTTATACCTAGTAAAGTATAATAAGCACGGTCTTATTTACTCATGAATGCAGCACTGTCTTACAGACGATTGGTTTGTGGTATAGTGAGAGCAGAATGAGGCCTAGCTGACACTGTTGATTTCCCTTATTCGCTGGCGGTGACTATCTCGAACGTGGAGCCCACCCAAGGCTTCCTAACTCATTGCCAATCTTCACGTTGACTCCATCATATTCGAATGGAGGGAAAAAGAAGTCGGATTATTCACAGAGAGAGATAGGGGGAAATAGACACAGAGCTGTGTAGTTTCGCAAATGGCTGGTGTGTGCACTCGTCAATGGTTTGCTCTCTTGTCTTTTAATTAATGAATAAAATTTCTGTCTCCTCTGTGCTGCATCCAATTAGGCAGACAAATAGAATTAACAGTGTCTGAGTATTATCTGTTCTAATAAATTAGCCTTTGTGTCTTCTCATGCCATTGTGCGGCTTCTTCAGTCAGTCTTACATATTAGCAGAAGGCTTTTCCATTTCCTTCATGCATATGCATTATACTGCTTTGAATTTCTGCATGGTTTCAGATTTGTTGTATAGAAATTCTGACGTTTTTGTGGGCTTCCTCTCTTTGTTTTTGTGAGCCTTCTTCAGGGAGTTTTATTTGTTCCTATAGGTCTGTTTGGAGGAAAAAGACTCTTTCTGCTTTGATTCTCTGGTACAGGTTAGGGGCTCTGTACCAGACACATGGTCAGATATGGTGACATCATAGCTTCTATCATGTAAATGCTGGAGTTCATTGTTAGTCTATGAAATGGTTCTATCCTATTTCTGGGCATCACCATGCACAGTGCAGCCCTCCGCCTGTGGACAGCGAGCCCGGAGCCGCGCTTCTCTGCTGAGGCATGGAATTTCTTCGTTTTTGAGGTAGTCTGATTCCACAAGCTTCGGCCTCCTCCGGGAATAACTGTGTTTTGGAGCTCATGAAAACTGCTGAGTGGGGTCACTGCGATTGTTCTTCACAATTGTTTTGTGAAGTTTGGATGTCTGGACTCATATTTCTTATTTGATTAGTCTTCAGAGGCGGGATCTTGTTGGCAGGCATGTCTAATCATCACCACTTTGGCTGAAGAGAAGCTTTGCTCTGCTCACTTGTTGCATCTCCCGCACGCCCCTTCCTTTATGCTGTAAATGTCTGCAATGAACATTAGCTCACAAGTCATTTTAGGATCATGAGATACTTGTACATTTACCGAAATACAAGATATGGAGTTAATGACTGAAGGAGCATAAATTTACATACCGATTTGAAAAGCCATATACTTGAGTTATTTCCTGCAAGGCATAAATGAAAGGAGAATTTTCCATAATGAAATGTCAGTTTTATATTGACATTTATATGACATTTCATTTTTTGACATCATAATTTTGAAGTGTGACAACCCTATGAATCACAATAGCTTTCAATTTTCTTTTAGTATAATCTCTTCTTCTGGGAACATATTTAACTGTACTGTTCTCATGTCAGTGACCTAAATAGTTTTTGCTCGAGAGAAAGTTTTCAAGCATAAATATGATCAGTTTATCCCTCTTGTCTGTTAAAACATGCCTCGGTGAATTATTAGCTGCTAAATTAAGGAGTCTTTATATTTCAGATAATTGAGGGTGTTGTAAATACTCAGGTGTTCAATAGATGTGCAGCTACATTTTTTCTGAAGTGGCTGCATATAATTATGAGCTTAACCCAGGAAAAAATTGTGTGAGGAGATTTTTTTCTGTCTCTGTTTGTGCCATGCGGCAAGATGTGTCTTGAAATGTCTGCTTGCCACATGATTTACGGTTCTGTGTGTGTTTCTGATGTGTCAGCGATTCTGTACATGTTGAGCACAGGATCCCTGTAGCTGCCTGTCACACTGCTAGTACAACACAAACACACACCCACAAGGTTAGCCACTCTCAGCCTTCCTTATGCTGCCACTGCACACACAGATTTCCCCCCCTTGTTTCAAGGGAATTTGAGGGAAATTCAACGACTCTGCTAAATCAATTTTATTTCAGATTTCAGGGGACAGAGACAGAGTGCAGTAAGGAACGCAAGATTGTTCTAGGCAGGTGTTTGTAAATGTGAAACAGGGGACAGGAGCAAAAGAGACAGCAGCATTCTCCCGCTCTCTCGTGGCCTAGCTGCACTACAAGCTTCCCTTCCCATATTGTCTCCTGCTTTTATATTAATTACAACTTGTATTATCAGCCGCCAGTTGCTAACCCCAGCAAATAGAAAAGGCTTCCCCAAGAGACTGTGCTTCTTTTGTATCTCACTCTCTATCTAGTCCTATTGTGTACATTCGTGTGTGCGTTCCCGCCTGCACATATATGTGTATTTGCTTGCCACTGTTCTCCTCCTCCTCCTCCTCCTCCTCCTGGTAACACTGCTCTTTAACACAATTAGAGAAGAGCATGGAGTGAACCATGTTTGACTCCTAATTATGCCCAGCTTCAGGGAATAGTCACATGGGCTACAGGCCTCTCTTTTTTCCTCTATTTCTTTTTCCTCTATTTTTCTTCGAGGACTCTGTGTAGGTTGAGGAAGTCTGTTTAGATGACAGATTTTTCTTTTTACAACTTGTTTGAACTTTATCAGACCCACAGGGGTTCTGACAAAATGGTTGTGTGTGTGTTTGTGTTGCACAGTGTCTGATGATGCACCCGCCGTAGCTCAGAGAGGCACTTTAAATTATTCATGCATAGGAAAGGCTGTTGCTTTTGTCGCCTTGTGTAGTGTGGAAAGTTAACACTGTTGTTTTGATATTCATTGTCTTGTTTTGCTGACATTGTTATGAATGAACCATGACGTGCAGGTATTAAAAGAAGAGAGTGCTCTGGTCCTAGCATCCACTGTATTATTAATATTATTATTTGGTCGTATAAAGTGCTGCAGACCTCTTTTTGCTCTTTAATAGCCAGACTACCAAATCTCTATCTAAAGCCTAGGATACAGGCACATTAAATCCACAGGGTAGCAAATCACAGCGAAATATCATTCCCTTTCACACCATTAGCTGAGGTGTCTTTTGGATTTAATTTAGTGCCAGCACCATTAAAAATGACACATTACTCTGCAATGATAGTTAAATTAAGTCTTATCGATTTCCCTGTTGCATTAAAACCATACTGTGACCATAGCTGGAAGAATAAGTGTGCAAGAGAGCAGTATGCACGGGTTCTCAGCTCTGCTTTATGCCTTGTTGGCAGTGCGTGTCTTGTGAGGATGGAGTACAACAACAGCTTATTCTCCTCGTACATTGCCCAGCTCTGCTTAAATACATAATGCATTCTGGGAGTCTGGGACCCTTACCTCGCTTTCTTCCTTCCCTCCTTGTGCCATATGACGGAGACAAGGGGATTGATGGGGATTTTCCCACATTAGAGATTTACTCAACCTGCGCTGTGCTGAGAATGACAGAAAATGACTATAACAACAGACCTTGCTCCCATATGTTGATCAGTTGTCCCTGGAGTGAAAACATCACAATCATCTCTCCTCTTCAGAGCAGGGACACTTTTCTCTTGGCTCCGACCCACGCACGGGTTATTGTTCACTCTGTCTTCTTACCCCTCTCACGACTCATTCTCCGAGCTCTTTATCTGATTGCCATCCGGTGAACAGCTGACGCTGAGAGGGTCTTGAGTGGAGCGCGGGGTCTGAAGGGTGTTGTGTGTTTCTGTCTGCTGTTTCCAGCTCCAAGCTGTTTGAGAAAACGGCCCGCCTTCCCCAAAAACCATAGCAGATAAAAGGGCCCTCGCTCTCAGGCATAGCAGCAGCCTCGCCTCCGCGGCAGAACAAGCAGGAGCACATCAGGATCGTGTGCCCAGGGGACCTCGGCAGCAGCTTGTCTTATAGCCTTTATTTCCCAACGAACCTCCATTAGTCTCCAGGCTCTATCCTGTCTGTCCTCCTCCAGTACAGCTCACTCTGACTGGGGAACCAAAGCAGGCAGGCAGGGAGGCAGGCTCCTCTTTGGCGGGGGATGAGGGAAAAGAAACTGAACTGAACTGAACAGACACTGAATTTGGACAACATGGTAAAAAAAATTGTCTTTTTCTTGGAATGTTCTATGGCATGTACATTTTCCCTCTACTTTTGTATTTGTGTTTATGTGTGTTTGAAGGAGAAAAAAAACACACATATAGCGGGAACTGAGAAGTGGGTTGAGGTTTGTGGGAAGCCTTGGTGAAGGCCAGTGTTTGTTTGGCTTGGGTTCTGCTAAAGGGGCTGCTTCTCCCGGGCCCCCTGACAACGTCGGGCTCACGTTTGCCAACATTTTGTCATCATGCTCAGGTGGCATGTTAAATTGGGAAAGACTGGCGAGGGTTGCGTGAGCTACGAGCCTGCGTTAACCCTGTGTGTATATGACTGAGCCTGTGTGTCTGCGGGCACGCGCGTAGTAAATGACGTGACCAGTCTGCCTCTCTAAACCCTGAATGGCAGAGGAAATTCCACCTCTAGCCTGCCTTCATGTGGCACTGATAAAGCCTTTCCTGTACAGTAGAAAATCCTGTTGCACCGTGTGCTCTCAGAGGGCAGTGGGAATGCCCAGGAAAGAGAGGAAAGGGAAAGAAAAATGCCCAAGGAAGGGCTGGAAAGATGAGGGGTACCTCAAATGCTATATATTTGTTTACTGGTATGTCCTTTGAAATTACCCAGTAGAAATGTCACACTTTTTTTAGAACATCTTTGTATACCTAAAAAGTGTGCATTTTCTTGCTCTATTATGTCATTGGTGTGTGTGGATGAGTGTATTTCTGCAAGCCTTTGTAGGCATGAGTGCACGTCTGTGTGGGTGTGTACACATTTTTGGCAGATTAACAGGAGAATCACTGTCATATCTTATTTTCATTTCTGACAGTGGTAATGATTAATGGCAGCTGTGGTGTGTTTGGACTTTTTAACTCTCTGTTTCTCACTTGATACGGAAGTCTCAATTGGTTCTGGTATAAATGAACATCACTGGGCTCCGCCATGTGTGTTTAGATGATTACACACGAGCGCTCTATTTGGACCTCTCAAAATCAACTGCCACATTAACTGTGCTGGGTATTGCTCTCGCGTATTAATGAAACACTTTGATTACAGTGTTTTGACTTTTAGCCAGCTGCATTAGAGCATCATCTTCCTTCCTTCCTCATCTGTGATTATCATTGCTCGCTTGATTGTCTGCTAGCTTGGAACTAAGAAGTCGGGCTCTTTGTCTTGCCAAGAGCATGTAGGCAGGTCAATCACCCTCTCAGTGATAGCAGACATGTGCAGATGTCTCTCTCACGTTTCTTGCATACTCATATGGTCTTTTTTTCTTTCCCTGTGGTTCTTCTCAACCCTCTTCACTATGTTCCTGGCTTGTGGTTTGGGTGGGGAATGCGGTTGGATACCCGGATGGATTCCACGCTGGCGTTGTCCCTTTTAAACTTCAGAACCCAGCTTCCTGGAGAGACCACGATGACGCCACCTCCACACACTCCGCTGGCACACCGGGGCCCTCCAGCGGGGGACACGCTTCACAGAGCGGTGACAACAGCAGCGAACAAGGTGAGCATACACACTTGCATATATGGATGTCCACGTTTGCTCACATAAACACATACAGGACACATTAATCCTCATGTATGGACTGAGTTGCCAACAGTTCAGTTTAACTGTGTCTAATGTGAAATCTATAGTGAAGCGATGTGTCTTTACACATTCCCCAGACCTTCCCTTTTGCACTTTGGATAATCCTGTTTTTTGACAGCCATCCATGTAAAAACAGTCACACCTAAAAATGAACACGCTTATCCACTGTAACACTCGGGCACAAACACAAGCAGCAACTAGTATAATGCAGCAATCTTGTAAAAGGCTTTCCAAAATGTTGCTATTTAGAGAGCTGAACAAAAGCTGGTGATTAATTGTATATTTCTGCCAGTTCTTGCTTGAATTTAAACCATATCAACTTTGCCTGCACAACAGCCCATAATTATGCCTCGCTGAGTCTTGTGTTATCTTGCACCCGACCTGCCAAACAGTAATAATGCATCTAAAAACAAATGCATTTTAATTTAATACAGATAGTGTGTTTAAGTCACAGCTATTTGCCTTGCATTATTGTGAAGGAGAGTATCAGTTTTGACATGTAATTTGGAACAGGCAAATGCTTTTATGTACGTCAAGTCATGACACCGCACACTGACATGTCGCTTAAAATGTGTAACTGCTGCTCAAACTAAGACAACAGATGCCGAACACCTGACCTCCTGTTTTTCCGTTCTCGCCTTTTTTAAAATTCACCAACGATCTCCTTCCACTGGCGGCAGAGCGAGTGTTTTTTTGGGTCTCTTTCTCTATATGCCCTCTGGCAATGTCCGGAGTTTTTCATGGAATTTCATCACACTTTCTACGCACACAGATTCATTCAAGTACACACATTCGCCAGCACTCTTGCTGTGTGAACACATCTGTTATGTCTGTTCAAGGCTATCGTTTTGCCAATAAGCGATCAAATGCATCGATGCACTGTCCTCTGCGGCAGGGGTGTTTAAATCATCTTCTGTCTTGACAGAAGCAGCAGTTGCAGCTTTTGTACAATTATTGACCACAGATTGAGGGCCGCAGCCGACCTTTGTGGTTGGTTGTGTCGGTATCAGTTGGATCCCTGGCTGGTGTCAGCCTAGTCGGAATAAAGAAGATAAAGCTAAGCTTTGATTAAGTAACATCTAAATATGTTAGTATAGAGGAATAAGGAATAGAGAGGTAATAATAACGTGACTCACTTCTGAATTTAACTGCTTTTGATGCTTTTTAAACCCTTTTGTATGCAGACAGAGTCCACTGACATATACTGAGCCATATAAGTGTAGTTCACACTGACCTTACCGTCACACATCATACATTGGCCACTCTTGTTAAACCAAAGTCATTAACAATAAACAAAAAATTAAGAAGTGTAAAAGTTAACGCGAAAACACAAATGAAGGGTGTCAAAAACAGAGAATGAGATAAAGCCCAGAGAAGCAACGCTGCACTGCTCTCTGTAAGTGCAATGGGGGATGAAGTGCTGCCAACAGAGGAGGGGGGTATGAGAGAAAGAAATGCACTGCCTATTGATTATCTTACACGCATAAGTACAAGTGACCTGTAATCCACAGAGCACTTATCGACTCCTTTCCCCACCGTATCCAGTAACAGCAGATCAATACGGGCCAAAGACAGTTACGGTACAGCACCATGTGCTGGGCCGACGACGACTGAGACTAGATCATGTTAAAAATAATTTTCACCAACCCATGATGTTGTAAGATATAAAACTTAGTTAGCAGCTCAGAAAAAAAACAGGGATTTAAAAGACAGAGAAGGAAGAGTCATTTAAGTACATAGGTTATAAAGTTAAAAAAAAGGTGAAAAAGTTGGCAAATCAAGACAAAAAAATCTGAGAAAGAGAAAAAAGAGGGAAAGAGACCAAGGGCAACTGATTCAATGGTCTAATGAGGCCGTCCTCTAGCCAGTTGTTCTATGTGAGGCATGCTCTGACCTTTCGCTCTGCTCGGGAGCCCCGCCGCCTCATTTTTCACATTCTTGCAATTACGTTAACGCTTGAAGCGCTCGCTGACTCCCGACTCTGGCCCTTCCATACTGACAGAGCCCTCCCTCTACGCCCCCCCCACCTTCCCCCCCTCTTCCCTACTCCACGTATGAACTCGCCTCCGATCGCAATACATTTTGAACATAAAATTTGTAGTCTGCACTCTGAAGTCCACTGAGAAAATGTAAAATGTGTGCTTCACTTCAGTAATGGGGTCTTTAACAGCTTGGCCCCTGTTAAAAGGGGTGACAATGTGGATCAGTAGAGAAAGACGGAGTAGATGGGTGAGAGTCAGGGAGAAGGGAAGGGTGAAATATTGCATGAGACCCACAGTTCTTTTTAGTTCAAGCTGCCAAAAAGATCAACTTTTTTTTTTTGCAGTGTAGCATCCTGAAAAATGTGTTTTATTTGTGTTGTGGCTCACAAAACATTTCGTTAAAAAATAGATTCAGAAGCTTCCCCGTCTGGAGAATGCAAACAGCTCAGCTCTCCACTGAATATTTAATAATTATTTACAGTGACCAGATCAAAGTTTCTCCTTAACCTTTCACTCTGCCTTTGGCTAATGTTGTGAGATATACACAGAATAAATATTAGTATCACTAAATTACTTTTTCTCTCCAAAAAGTTCACCCATCAGTAACCTAATAATTTACTATTTGGAATCTGAACAGTGAGCATTGTTTTAAGTCTGCAAAAAAATAGAAAAGAAAAGAAAAAATATCAACAAGTGTCAACACAAATGTTTCAAATCTAGTATCAAGACGTAGACCGAAGAGAAATATTCTGATAACAATCAGTAAAGGTTGTGACACACGAAAAAAGACTATTTATTTATTTTTTCTCAAAAAAAGAAAAAGAAGAACTATCAGCCCCTCAGGGGCCAGTTATGCCCCCTCACTTTCTGACTCTTGGAGAGCAACTCCGTATGTTTAACTACATAAACAAATATCAGTGGTTGAGGGGATAGTTCAGAAGTTAACACAGAAACTTCACTGGCTTTGCATAGACATATTTTTTATTATAAATCCTTTATAACCTTATTTAGAAACATCAGAGACATCAGTTGCAGGGACTTAAACTTGCCAAATTTGCGTGCCTTAAGATAGCACTCGTTTCCGAGCAGGTGTCTGTAATGTGCTAAGCACTCAAAGTGTGATGGAGAAGAGCAGGGAAATAGTCTGCACATTTGCCCACCCCAAACACAGTAAAGTTAAATGCACCCAGTCATAAACTGCAAATCCCCAACACTGATTTAGCCTGGTAGGTAACACTCTTTTTGCCCTCTTCCTGCATGTGTATTTGTTAAAGCCTAAGTCCGTGTGTGTGTGTGTGTGTGTGTGTGTGCGAATGCCTCTGCTCCAGTCCACACTTGTAATTATTAGCTATGCATGAAGACCAAATCCACGATGACATCTTGAGTGCTCAGCAAAGGGGCTTTCTGTACAATTCCCAGATTCTACTGTAGACGGAAAGGGCTCTACAGAAGAGAGGAGAAAGCATTTTGTACATTTTCTCAGCAATTGAACAATCCCTACGCTCTGTGGATAGACAGACTCCCCAGAGAGGCTGAAAGAGGAGGAGATGGAGACGAAGGGAGAGAAGAGAGGGAGAGCTAGAGTGTTCGGTTCCAAGGGAGCATGCTGCGCTTGATGATGTTGTGGTACATTTGCGTGTGTGTGTGTGCATGTATGGGGAGTGTGGTGAGCAACCTTGGCCCTGGCTGGAGGCCCCACTCAACAAGGTCTTCTTGGTTAAGCTTACTAGAGAAAGGTCATTTATGGTAGGGACATGATTTCTGGTGAGCACAGTTTACTGAATTCTGGACTCTGACAATCTTTGGCTTTCGTTTTGTACTTGAACAGCTATGCTTTGGGGTTAAAATGCCTCCAAAAATGTTGGAAAAGACAGAAAGAACAAACATGTAACCACAACAGAAATAAGACCACAATTTCTGCTAAACACAAGATGGAAGTCTTGTTGCATTTTAGTAACATATACTCCAGCTGTAGAGCAATTGTTGAGGTGTGTCTTTGTATATAAAATATATGGTTTGTGGCTGTGTGTGTGTGTGTGTGTGTGTGTGTGTGTGTATATGCACACACATGTGCATGTGTTAGCTGGTTCTCTCTAAGTGCCTGTTAGAGTTTAATTTAGTGTAGTAATTAAAGCTGAACACTAGCCCATAAACAAGAGATAAACAATAAAGCAGACCAAAGCCCTGCTGTTTCATGGCCCTCAGTTCCAGCTGTTGGAGCACTGATAATTTTCACACACTGCCCCCACCTCACCACAACACAATACTGAAGCAACAACGGTGTGTGTACGTTGTGAATGTGCGCATAAGTTTATTTTAGTGGGTGATGGCAGAAGTTGAACAAAAAAGGGCAAAAAAAAAACACAACAAAAAACAGAAAAACACATAAACACACAGGATATGTCCACTTCCCTGCTGGAAAGAAAACACAAAGAACCACAGTGAAGCATTCAGAAAGCGTAAGAGGAGCTGTCTACTTTAGACCCCTTTACAAAACTAGCTCAACAGATAAACACTCAGCCAAGTGCAGCCATATAAAGCAATCAACTTTAAACTGTACACATATTTCTCAGTAGAAAAATGTAGAACTGCATTTCACCGAAAAACAAAACAAAACCGAAAACAAACCAGCTTAATATGGATAACTGTGTCATGGTGTTTCTCTATAGGTGTGCAACTTTAGCCTTGTCCCTACATGTCAACCTCCTGTTAGCCAGGTGTCTGCTGTGAAAACAGCGCAGTGTGTCTGTCCGGTGGTTTGTTGTGAAGGGGCAGGGCTACTGCTGAAAGCTGAGAGGAGTTGCTGTGGAAGGGTAGAAAACAGTATGTAGGGGATACTTTCATGATCCCATTAGCATAAAAGAGGCTAAATTATTCATGTGGAGTGCTCAATCTATGGGGAAAAGTATAGTTAATGCACATAGTTTTAAAAT